TTTTTTTTTTTTTTTTTTTTTTTTTTTTTTTTTTTTTTTTTTTTTTTTTTTCCTCTTTCTCTCATGTGTAATACTGCAGTGGTGGTGACATGGATGTAGAACAGCATGTTGTGAGTTGAGTGAGAAATGAAAAGGACAGCAAATGCTTCGCACGCAGCTGTGCTCATTGGATAGCTCACTAACGGGGGCATAGGCAGTAGCTTGAACCATGAGACAAACAAGGACACGGTTAGGTGAATTCATTTGTGCCAGTTGATTGTGTTAAAAAACTTAGTTGCTGTCCCCCACGGACAAAATATCGTTTCTCATTTTGTGCATGCGCCACTGGTTGGACATCCCCTATTGCATGCATTTGCAGAGTTGACGTGTTACATATTGGGGGGAGCATTCAAAGGTTGCTTCTGCCTCCACTGTTCGCTGCATTAGCTGCCTTGTCTGGTTTGTCTCAGGGGGGATACACAACACGTTACAAGGTTCATAAGAATTGCGTAACGGGTACATATGACAAGCGTGCATAATTTTTTGAGGGGCATTATTTTGGTTACACTTTTTTTTTTTTTATTCCACAGTGCAATATGAGTACACATGTCGTCCCTTGGGCAGAGAACGCACAAGACGTGAAGGCAAAGAGAAAGGAGTATGCAATCGCCCCTCCCTTCCATGGATGTAAAAATAAATACTGTAAACCCTTTTTCATTAGGGTGGAGAAATTACCCTGCCACACGTTAATGACTGTAACAAGAATGCTTAAGGTGTAGGGAGATGTATATTTATGCGTGATTCGAATGGTTTAGGTGACATGACTACAAGTCCTGGTGTATGCGCGTGAGACAACCATTACATGTTGTCGCTCGTGTATAGAACACAATGCGGCTGTTAATACAAGACATTTCAAACGCAGCAGATGAATGTATAACAAATGGTAATTTTTTTTTTTATATATTTTCCTTTTCTGTATACATATGTTTATTAGTCCCGTCCGCGAACACATGATCATGGGCACATTGTTCAGGTGAAACAATTGCGTGCGTCATGGGAGAACGCGAATTGTACGCGGTGACAAATAGGTAGCAGCGTAATGAAACGTTTGGCAGGCATCGCCTTTTTTGCTTTACTTTTTAAAGAGTTCAGAACTTACATCCCCTTGATTTACATTCAAGAGCTGAAACGTGTTTTTAAATAGTTGGGTACTCGTCGTTCGTACATACATGCAATGCATGTGCATAAGCACATATGCAGGAAAAAAAAAAAAAAAATCACTTACAAGGAACCCACAGGAATACGGCTAAGGGGAAGTACAGTCTTACGGACAATCGAGCGATCACACACACGTACACGTACACGTACACTTACATTTACACTTACATTGTACACACGAGAGAACATGACAAAAGCACAAAAAAAAAAAAAAAAAAAAAAAAGGACATACAAGCGTCTGAGAGAACAGGCGGACGGTACAAAAAACACGAGACAGTACCAACAACAACGGACAATCAAAAAAGGGGACGAACGATCACGAACAAGCAGCACGGACTGACTCACTAAAAGACACACTCACACACACACATAGGTTGAGGACGATACAGACTTTTTTGTACGGCACTCACACAGGAACAGTTTAACGTACTTACAACGGACTCACGAACATGACACATCTACGTACGAACAGGTGGGTGTGGGGGGCAAACAAGAACAGGTCGGACAACTTACAGGTAGGGGAAGTAAATAATAGCGTCCATATATACTTGTATGGCATATATATATGTTCTATACGTATGTATACACAGACGTATATGTTATAATACAACTGTAAACACGTATATAAATTGGCGAAAAAAAAAAAAAAAAATATATAAAATTAAAATTTAAAGCTTTTTTTTTTTTTTTTTTTTTTTTCTTATTTTTTCTTCGGTCTTTTTGTTGACTGTAGATTGGAACACTTTGTTTATTCTGTACAAGTGTGTTTTACACATATGTGGCTTTTATTGGTCTCTTTTTTTTTTTTGCCAACCTTGACTTTGCTTACATTCTTCTGTAGTTTATGTTGCTATATCCAGTACCTACAAAAATGTTAGCGAAAAAGGGGAAGAATAATTGAAAATGGGAAGAAAAAAAAAGAGCAGTTTTTTTTTTTTTTTTTTTTTTTTTTTTTTTTTTTTT